ATTATATAGGAGTACTATGAAATTAAAAGAGTTAATTGTTGCAATAATTATATATTATATATATAGATGTATTAATCAATTGGAAAATATATATATAATTTATAATATGGATGCATTGCAGGCAGAAAATGGTGATAAGGATCGACGAAAATTGTGGAATACATGCCGTTTTTCCTGTCTCTGGCTTCCTTTGTCAACAGTGTTGGTTGGACTACTTATGATTTCCTCCCATTTGATCCTTTCATCTGTATAAGTTGTAACTTCATTTTTATTACTTATCGTAGTAGTAGTATTAGTAGTGTTAATCATAATTTTGCATGCATGTCTATTAAATACATAGTATTAATTAGTTGTTTCCTTCAACAACTTCAATTATTTTATTTTTTAATTAAGGAGCTTTACATAGGGTTGAGCATTGTGTACGGATATATCTGATATTTGTAGGTATTTGATTTATTTGGTAAGTATTTTATTTATACTTGTGTGAAAAGATAGTTAAATACTGGGTATAAAAAACGCATACCTATTATGTTTATGTTTTTTTTTTCTTTTCTTTAGGCAGTAAAAATTCAATTGAAAGAAAATCATAAGGATTTTTGTTTGTATTTTTATTATTATTATATATATAAACTGGTGTATCTGTGAATGTATATACTCACGTATTTTGTTTTATATATAAACTTATATTATATGTATGAACTTATAATTGTATATTAACTTATGTATTTTTAATGTAAAATTTAATAAGCAGACAAGTGTACTTATAAGTATACCTATACCCAACAAGTTAGATAACGGATATAAATTTTTAATACCCAAATAAGTATTGAGTATTAGAATCTTATACATGTTACTTTTCAAGTCAAATACATGTATGTATAAGCAAATATTTGACCCATACGTACCTAGCCATGCTCAACCCTAATTTTACATATACAGATTCCAAATGGGCTTGGGATAGTGTTTACTGTGGCCCAACTTATATTGTACGCCACATATTACAAGTCCACCAAGAGGCAGATAAAGCAAGACAGGCAGCACAGAAATTAAGAAGCAGAGTTGGGTGTGTCTGAGGCTGAGGTAGTCATCGGAAATGGACACCAGAAGAACAATAGAACCGTGTCTGAATATGGTAGTGTTTAGAATGTCCATACATCCATATGTCTTCTGCTTAAAGAAATGAATCTAGAGTAAGAGTGGCATGTACATGGCGACATGCAGCTTTTGTTATAAATGAACGGATTTATTTAGTTTAGTTTTCAATTTCAAATTTCAATCCAAGCCCCTGTTACAGTATCACATCAGTGTGTCTACGTTTTACTTATATATATATACACATAAATTTTTTTAATGCATAAAATAAACAATGAATGCAAAGACTTAATAAGAACACATATATGAGTAAAGTATTTTGTAGTTAAAACTGTATAATATTATAAAACATATATATATATATATATATATATATATATTTGAAGACGAAAGATAGAAACTCAACAAAATTTCTTGTCCTCTAAAAAAAATGAAAACACATAATATGTCCTATTAGTTTACACACTGAAAATAGATCATAGAAGATTAAATTTAAACCTCTTCAAAAAATACTTAAGAGTTGAGACTTTAGATATGTCGTTTAGTTTTCACTCACACTCCATCATCAATCCTTAACTTTCTTGTCTTTATGAGGAGGTAGAACGTAGAAATTAGGGATGGTTAAACCTCATACAAATATTTGGTTTTTAAATTTCTAGATAATTATTAATCTATACCTATAATTTTATTCATATTAGTTAAGGTGCATCAAATTGTTAACAAATGTCAGAGTTCTATTTGCCGCAACAGCAAGTAAATTATTTACTTCCCCTAAGATTCTCCATGTTCATTAAAAAAAAAAAAAAAAATCTGACCACTAACCTTATAAAGAGAAGACCAAAAGGATCAAATCTTTTTTCTTAAGGACCCAACTATTTTTACCATTAAAGTACAAGGACTATCGGT